TTTAGGGACACAGCATTTAAGCCATAGCAGCATCCAATAAGCCACTTGCAGGTTGAACATCCCTCAGTGTCTGTTTCCCAGAGGACCCAATGACAAAGGCTGTCTGTGAAATAAACCCCAAACCCATCCTCTGTCCCATCAGCACCACCTCCAAGGCCCTGTCCCTCTCACCTGGATGGTGATGTGGCCCCCAGTTGGTCTCCTGCTTTCTTCCTAAGTCCTTTGATCTCACCCTGCTCCAGCCCTTTTTACTTTTTCCTCCTGTTTCTGGAACACTCCAAGCTCATTTATGCCTCAGGGTCTTTTCACTGGCTGTTTTCTCTGCCTAGAACACTCCCATCTTTCCCCAGGTTTCTACATGACTGCTTTCTCAGGTCATGTGGGTCTCAGTTCAGACAGAGCCTTTTTCTAGGTTCCTTGTGACTGATGTCCAGCTCCCTGTCCTCAACCCTCTCTGTAACTGCCTGCTATACAACTTTCAGATGTTTCTTCATAGTTCTCACCCCTATTTTAAATTGACTGGTTTATTTAATTATTCCCTTGTTTACTGCCTGTCTCCCCTCTAGAATAAGAACTCTGTGAGTTTGTCTTATTCCCACCCCAGTGGCTGGCACAAACATGGTCTAAAAACATTTTTAGGGGCTGCTCAGCTGTGCAGGCTTGATAACCTGAGTTCAGCTCTCCAGAACCCATGTAAACTACCTATGTAAAAAGCTGGGCACAGTCGGGCATGGTGCCATACACCTTTAACCCCAGCACTTGGGAAGCAGAGGCAGGTGGATCTGAGTGAGATCAAGGCCAGCCTGGTCTATATAGTGAGTTTTAGACCAGCTGGGGTTACAGAGAAAACCTATCTCAAATCTGTCCCAAAAATTTGAGCACTGTGATTCATGTCTGTAATCTCATCACTCCCATGGCAAGATAGAAGGTGGAGACAGAATTTCCTGGAAGCTCCTGGGCCAGCTAGCCTGGAGTACACAGCACAGTGCAGACAACAAGAGCACCTCTCCTCAAACAAGATGGAAGGTGAAGACTGACACTAATGGTTGTCACACACACATGCCTTCAAACACGTGGACATGTGCACACAGATACACAAAAATAAATTTTAAACTTTGTTTTTTTGGAGACAGGGTCTCATATGTAGCCCTGGCTGGCCTGGAACTTGCTATGTAGACCAAATTGAACTCAAACTCACAGAGCTCCCTCAGCCTCTACCTCCCCAGTGCTGGGATTAAAGATGTGTGTCACCATGCCCAGCACCCCCCAATATATACATATATATATATATATATTTGAATGAATAGCTATAGTTTTTACTTATAATAAAATTCCCTAACTTTAAGAATGGAATGAGGAGGCTGGAGAGATGGCTCAGCGGTTAAGAACACTACTGACTGTTCTTGCAGAAGACCCAGGTTCAAATCCCAGCACCCACATGGCAGCTAACAACTGTCCATAACTCCAGTTCCAGGAAGCCTCTTCTGTCCTCTGTGGGCATTGCACGACATGGGTGCATTTACCTACATGCAGGCATAACACTCATATACATAAAATAAAAATAAAACATTAAAAAAAGAGAGAATGGAATGAGGGGGCTGAGATGGCTCAGAAGACCCAGGTTCATTTTCAGCACCCACACAGTGGCTAACAGCTGTCTGTAACTCCAGTTCCAAGGGATCCAATGCCCTCTTCTGGCCTCTGAGGGCATTACATACATAGGCGCCCTTACATACATGCAGGTAAAACATACACATAAAAATACATTAAAAACTTGGAAGAATGGAATGAAAATGAAGGGATGAAAAATGCAGGAGGCTTTAGTACCAGTACTTGGGAGGCAGAGGCAGGTGGATCTCTGTGAGATGGGGGCCAACCTGGTCTACACAGTAGGTTCCAGGTCAGCTGGGGCTACAAGGAGACTTGTTCTCAAAACCAAACAAAACCAGGAGGTCTGGGAATGTACCCTGGTGGTAGAGCACTTGCCTAGCATGTGCAGGCCCTGGGTTCCAATCAGAGCACTAAGAAAAAGAGAAAATGAAAGCAAAAACAAAAACAGGAGACGTGAGATTTGTGATGGAAAATGAAGGGGCTATTACAGTCTCACGAAGGTCCCCTGAGAAGGTAATTCTGACCATCCCTATAGAAATTCTTTGTTAGAATTAAGGAGGTCCATTCCAAAAGCTCAGGAGGGACAGGCTTGGAGACTTGAGTGTCAAGTCTTGCCACTCTGCCCAGAGCAGAGTCAGAGTCGAGGCCTGTGGGGGAGCTAGCTTCTGGGAGAAACAGCCTGGCGAGAGGGTGGGGCTTTGTGTTAAATGCCAGGAATAGAGAGGAATCAATGAGGGAGGAAGGAACACAGAGAGGGCTTCAAAGCATTGTGGTGTGCCAGGGAATTGGCACAATTTGATATGCTACAGAAAGCCAAGGGTGGAGCAAGGCTGGGAGGGCAAGTGAGGCTCAGCTTCCAACACTCTTCTTTAAATAAAAAATATTTACTTTATTGTGTGTGTGTGTGTGTGTGTGCATGCACATGTGTGTGCAGGTGCCCAACAGAGGCAGAGGTGTCAGATGCCCCTGGATCTGGAGTTACAGACAGTTGTGAGCTCCCCAGCATGGGTGCTGTGAACCAAACTCTGGTTCACACTCTTAACCACCAAGCCATCTCTCCAGAGTTTCATATAGCTCAGGCTGGCCTCAAACTCCCTACAGACGGCCTTGAACTTCTGATCCTGTTGCCTCTACCCCCCGCCCCTGCAAATGCCAGGATTACAGCTTTATGTGGTACTGGGACTTCGTGCATGCCAGTCAAGTACTCTACCAACTGAGCTACATCCCAGCCCATACTGAGGCTTTTCACATACTCCCGTTATTTCCCATTTTACAGATTCAAATATTCAGACACAGAAAGTGTCAAGAATGGCATGAGGCCTGAGATTCACCCAACTTCCAAACTGGCAAGTTAACCCACCTGGAATTCCAAATAATCCTATGTGGATTCATGGATGCCACAGAAAACTTGAGACTCCTGGGGCAGAGGAAGAGTTCATTACTCACAGCACAGGATATGGCATACATAGCAGGTCTGCAGCACAGCCAGTGAGCCATGAATTAAGACCTACTGTCTTTTCTTTTGGGTTGCAAGTTGGCTTGCCCCACTGTGGCCCCAGAGACATGAATTTTATTGTTCTGATCAAGCAAACCTGCTCTCTGGTCAGAGGCAACACTTGTTCTGTTTTCCAAGGCTGATTATCACACAGACATCCCTGGAAAGATAGTCCCAGACTAGGGATGGGGTGCCACGAGCAGGTGTATAGGCAGAGGGGTGAGCAGGGTTCCCTGGATCTTACAGGACATTTTCTCTGGGGATACTGCCTACTTGTTTCTGTCTTCCTGGACTTATTAGATGCAACTGGGTGCATAATGTCTCTTGCCCCCCCCCCAGCTTCAAGGGAGGGGGACCCTGCTTGCATTTACCTCCAGAGAGACAGGGCTAGCTCTCCAATTTTGAATGCTTCCTTGGAACTGTGCTGCCTGGACTGGGTTTTCAGGTCACTAACTCACATCCATACACACAGGGCTCTGGGGTTTCATCACAAGCAGGCACTGTACTCCTGTGCTATCACTCAAATCCCCGACTCTAGGAGGTGGGTGAGCAGGGTAGGGGACATGAAGGAGTGAATGAAACACATGCCTGTGGACCACTGAACAGGGTCCCCCATGGTCCCCAGAGTAACTGCCTCCTCAGGAATGCTGTAGTGCCTCTTCTCCCTACACATACCTCGTGGAAACCAGTCAAGCACACAGTGGCAGCTGTGGTGCTCCGGAGACTTTGGAATGGCCTTCCCTTCATGTCAAGGCTTAGCTCAGCACTTAGCAAGCAATTCCCAGGAGCCACAGGCTGAAGCTGAAACCTGTACAGCCTCCCCAGAACCCTTCCAGCCCAGGAATCTGCCCTGTCTGGGAAACGCCTGCTGAGAGGTGGGGCTGGGGCTGGATTAGAAAGGGTGGTAGGGAGCTGGAGAGATGGCTCAGCGGTTAAGAACACTGGTTGTTCTTGCAGATGACCCAGGTTTGAATCCCAGCACCCACATGGCAACTAACAACTCTCTGTAACTCCAGTCCCAGGGGATCTGACAGCCTCTTCTCATCTCCATGGGCATTGCACAACACAGGTGCACTTACCTACATGCAGGCAATACACGCATACACATAAAATAAATATAATAAATTTTTTTTTAAATGAAAGGGTGGTAGGGAGCTGGAGAGATGGCTCAGCGGTTAAGAGCAGTGGTTGCTCTTGCAGAGGACCTGGATTTTCCTAGGACCCACATGGAGGCTAATAACCATCCATAACTCCAGTTTTAAGGGATCCAATGCCCTCTTCTGGTTTCTTTGGGCATTGCACACATGTGGTGCACCCTTATATGCATGTAGGCAAAATACTCATACATACATGTTTTTTTAAGTTTAGGAAGGGTAGTAAGTAGACATTTTGACACAATAAACACACACACGCGCACACACACCCTACTCCGTTCCTGCTGACTTCTTTCCTGCTTGGATCTGGCACCCACCAGCTTGCTTCACATCTGCCTCTTCAATGCAGAGCTACAATGAGCAGGGGGGTCTTCTCTGGGACCCTGGCTGTTTGCACCCCCAATGATTCAGAGGGAAGTTTCTGCTAACTCCTGAGGTCACAGGGATGGAGGAGAGTGAACTCTGCTCCTTTACTTTTGGAGGTGGCAGGTGACACTAAGGCGATCACAGAACAAGTCGGGTCAATTCCTCTCCTCACCCCAACTTGGGCCTGCTGTATTCCTCTCCAGCTCCCACCCCCAGGAGTCTGGTCCAGTCAGAAGTGCCTGCACTCAAATGCTGCTCCAATGTAAACAAGCTGTGTGACCTTGGGCAGCTACTTGACCTCAGTGGGACTCAGTTTCCTTATTTGCACCTTGAGCGTGTTCAGGCTGAGGCTTAATTGTAACCGAGATTGTAGCATGCTGAGCCCAGAGCACCGCTGGGGGTTAGCTGTCGGCATTCCTGGGACCCAGAGAGGGTCAGACCCGAGAGGGGAGGGTCTCCCAGGAACCATCCAGGGGCCGCGCACCGAACAGTGCGACCCGCAAGATGAAGTCCTGGGCGTGGCCGGCGCGGGTCCCCGCATCCCCGCAGCGCACGCACTCGGGCTCCCGGAAAGGAACGGGTGCGGGGCTGGGCCAGGGCCGGCCCGGGGGAGCGAGTGGGGCGGGGCCGCCGCGCCCGCCGCCTTCTCCTCCTCCTGCCGCCTGGGCTCAGAGCGGCGGCAGCAGCGGCCGCGGCGACAGCTCCGGCTCCGGCTCCGGCTCCAGCTCCCGCGGCGCTCCGGCTCCCGTGCTCCCGGGCTCCGTGCCCCGACCCCTCCGCTGCGCCTGCCGGGGGCCCCGCGCGCCCCCTCGCCCGCCTCACCCTGAAGTTCCTGGCCGTGCTGCTGGCCGCGGGCATGCTGGCGTTCCTCGGTGCCGTCATCTGCATCATCGCCAGCGTGCCCCTGGCGGCCAGCCCGGCGCGGGCGCTGCCCGGCGGCGGCGACAATGCCTCGGCCTCTTCGGCCGCCGCGTCCCCGGGCCCGCAGCGCAGCTTGAGCGCGTTGCACGGGGCGGGAGGCTCTGTCGGGCCCTCGGCGCTGCCGGGGGCGCCGGCAGCCAGTGCTTACCCGCTGCCGCCCGGGCCGCTGTTCAGCCGCTTCCTCTGCACGCCGCTGGCCGCCGCCTGCCCGTCGGGGGCCGAGCAGGGGGACGCGGCGGGCGAGCGCGCGGAGCTCCTGCTGCTGCAAAGCACCGCCGAGCAGCTGCGCCAGACGGCGCTGCAGCAGGAGGCTCGGATCCGCGCGGACCAGGACACCATCCGCGAGCTCACTGGCAAGCTGGGCCGCTGTGAGAGCGGCCTGCCGCGCGGCCTCCAGGACAACGGGCCCCGGCGCGACACCATGGCCGACGGTGCCTGGGACTCGCCGGCGCTCATCCTGGAGCTGGAGGACGCGGTGCGCGCCCTCCGGGACCGCATCGAGCGCATCGAGGTGAGCGCCGCGCCTCGAGCCGTCGGGGAAATGCCGGGGCGGGCAGAGGGAGACCCGGAGTCCGAGGGTGTCCCTGTGCCAGGTTCCGCCGCCCGCCCTCTCCGGGCCTCGGGTCTGCAGTCCGGGTCTCCAGGAGGATGCTCTTGGCAGGCGGGATGCGAGCCTGGCACAGGGACTGAGGCACTGGCAAGGATCCGTCCAGATCCTCGGTCCTCCTCCCCAGACGCCTCTCCCAGCCTTCTGGCTACGAGTCTGTGAATGGGAGAGCGGCGTCCGCTCGTAGTGGAAATTGATTGAAATGCAGGTGTGTGGAGATTGCTTGGCCAAGTACGAGGCTCTCCTTAAATGTGCATCGCAATTCCTTCCTCAAAGCAACACACCCAGGAGACAGGATGCGCTGCTGGAGAGACTGGGATTAACCTTTCATGACCAAGAGTAGGGTGCAGAGTGCCCCTAAGACAAACCTAGGCGCTCCTCACCACTCCCATCTTGGATGAGGCTGATCCACTGGAGCTCAAACACCAGGCTGCAGCCTTGTATTTCTGAAACCCTGGGCTCCAGGTGATGGGGGAGGAATCCGGCATGGGGCTCCTCTGCTCCTGTGTTGTGATGCTATGCCATTGATTAGACTTTTGGAGCCCGATGGCCCTCTTCCTCCCTGTAACAGTGAAGGTCAGAAAGATAAGGCAGAACAACTGATGTTCAGACCACAAGGAAGGTGGCTAGATCTGTGGGAGGGGAGAGACAGGCCAGGTGTCACCTACCTCCCCTGTTTTCTCCCCAAGACTGCAGCAAGGTAAGGCAGAGCAAGGAGAACCTGAGGGAAGTAAATGGCATATGTGGGGATGTGGAGGGACGGGTCTCCTTAAGTTCAGTCTGGCCACACAGCACAGGAAAGTTGTAGGCCCTTCCCGAAGTAGCCCACCAGAAAGTCAGCTGGTTGTACCCACTCTTCAGGGTGTCAGAGCCAACCCCACCTCCACTCCCTTTATGGGTGAGAAAACCCAGTTTAGAGACCCCCTGAGATGAGTGATGGAAGGAGAGGACAGCCACACCAGCTCCCCTCCTCTCTGTACACAGATGGTGATCCTAGAGCTAAGAGCAGGTGAGTGACCAGGGCAGGTCAGCCTCAGTTTCCTCACCTGTACAATGGACATCACAACAGCATCTATCTTACCCAACATTAAGAGGGGTGGGTGGAGGAACATAGGTATGCAAAGGACACAGGGGTCTGTCCCTATTTTTATCCTTTCGCTGTAATGTTTCCAATTTTTAATATATAACCAAGTACACAAATGGGAGCAAATTCTCCCTTTAGGAAGCAGACTTTACCAATGTGAAATCATTTGGTCTGGAGTCAACCTTCCCTTGCTGCCCAGCACAGCAGATGGCTCCTCCCACGTCTGGAACTGGCAGGGCTGGGCTGACCCTGGCCCTGTTCCCTGGCACCCGAGGCACTTGGCAGGGTGGGCTTCTCTTCGATGGGCCTGCTGAGGGCGAGGGATCCTGGCAGCTGGGATTTGGCAGCAGTTAGTTCAGCCTCCTCAGCTGGGGGAACCCTGGCTTCCCCACATTTACCTTCTCATGTTTGCTGAGAGACATGGAGAAAGGCAGGGGCCACCTGATTACCAGGTCTGGCTTCTGAGCCTGGCAGTAGCCAGAGTCAGTCCCTGGGGGGCTCTAGGAGGACCTGGGGTCACATTGCTATTCTCAGTGGGGACCCACGCTTCCCTAGGCCACTGACTGATTTCTCCTTCTCTTCTCATTCAGTGTTGGCAAAAAGCTCCCAGGTTTTCAGTCTACTATCACTGCCGCTATCACCCCGAATACAGTCTTGCCAATGTCCCCAGAGGTGATAAACTGAATGGGGGACATCCCAGGCTTTACCTTGCTGACCCCTCAGACATATGACCCTCTTCTTCTGTCACAACTCTTCTTTCTTGGTTTCTAAATGCCTCTCCCCTGCCCCTTCCCGCTCTACCAAGGCATCACTGTCTGTTTGAAGATTCATATCCTCCTCCTCCTCTCTTCTAGGGCCTCCTGGGTGGACTGAGCCACACCCAGACACTTCCAACAGTCACTCTGTGTGGCAGCCTCAGATCCATAGACTCTATCTAGATCTCTGTGTGCGTACTTCCAGCCACCTCTTGGCTGATCTCTCTTGTAGGTATACCTAGGGTCTTCCTTAAGCCCACCTTGGGGCTCCCTTATAGGGACAATTCTCAGCCTGAACCCAGACACCCATTTGAAGCTGGTCTGGCTCCCCAGCCTCATCTCTCAGTTCTCTCCTGTCTCTGCTTGGATCAGTCCAATTATCCCTCTACTAAAGCACCTGTTCTAAGACCCCTTCCCTGATCACTATCTGTCCCTTCCCACAGTCCTCGCACATTAACACCCATGCATCTCTGAGTTGCACCCCTGTCCCTTCCAGCAATACCTGACTCCAAAAGGTGTGTGTGGGGGGTGTCTAGCCTCCTCTTCCTGCCCATTTCATATGGGAGTCATATTTAAGGACTTTGGAGAAATTGTTGATCTTTTTATGTTTTTATTTATTTACTTTCATTATTCACTAATAAAAATAAAATGTTTGGGGAGAAATTTTCTACTTAATCCCATTTTCCTCTTCCCTTTTGGAACCCCCCAAGTACCAGCCCACCAGCAGGCATTGTAACAGACCAGAGTGGGATTACCACAGTCACAGCTATCTCCGTATCTCGGTGTTTCCAGCTCTGTTGTCCATCCCTCACTAGCTTCTGTGGCTGGGCTGGACACAGGCTGCTCTTGACTCTCTTTTCTGGATGCTCATTACAGGATCGATTTCATGCAGAGCTGTTCGTTTTCCTCTTAAGTCTGTTGAATGGTGCCTTTAGCTGGACTCCCAAGAGAGCTATTACCCAGTGAGAGAATATGACTTCTGACATTGGCCAAGAACCACTTTCCAAGAGAGCTGGACCACTTATGTGGCACTCGGCCATGCTGGCGTGCCACAGAGTTCCATTTTTGTGCTAATTTATGTGTATGGTGAAGGTTTGGGATTGGCTTAGACAGAATTTCTTTGACATAAACCCCGTCCTGGATCACCCCGCCCCCATCCTGGAGCAGAGCCAGCTGAAGAGTTTTCCAGCCAATGCTGGATTCAGGGAAGCCTCACTTTCTGCTGTCTTAGCAATGATCACTCACTCATATTACTAAGCGCTTACCATGCATCAGGAACTTTGCATCATCTCATTTAATCCTTCTGCATCTCTATGGAAGAGAAACAACCAGGTTCAGAGAGGTTAAAACATTGGCCCCAGATCATCCAGCAGTAGAGCCTGGATTTGACCTGTCAGTGTCTGGCTCCAGGGCCATTGTTCTTCACCATTAACTCTAGACTCATCTGCAGGGATAAACATCCTTTACAAGGTGGTGAGAGAAAACAAGTGAGGCAGTGTCCACTGCTGGCCACTGGCCTGGACCACTTCTCTGTCTTTGAGCACCCACGAGCATAGTGTTGCCTCGAAGGCTGGACCTGCTGGTGCCAGGAGGACCTGGAGGCTCCCTCAGGGTTCCTGGTAGCAGCTGGCCCTTGTGCACATACTACATACCCATTAGCTCCTCCAGTCTCTGTCCTTCAAAGTAGGCTGTGGGCATTCCCATCTTACAGAGGAGACCCAGCAGCTCAGTCTGAGGAATGCAGCACAGGCAAACCCTCTGCCCCTTACCCCTGCAGAGTTCCCTTTTATAAAAACTGTACAGCAAAGTTCTGTTGGTAGTGTGCTTGCCTAGCATGCATGAAGCCCTGGTTTCCATCCCCAGCACTGTGTAGAACTGTAATCCCAATACTTAGGAGGCAGAAACAATGGACCAGAAGTTCAAAGTCATCCTCAGCTACATAGGAGTTCAAAGCCAGCCTGGGCTACATGAAACCCTGTTTCAAAAAACCAGTCAACTAAACAAAAAAAAAAACCTACAATAAGCCAGATGTTTCCTCAACACCCTCCCAGCTCTACACAGCCTTTGAAACAGGAAGGCCAGCTGCTTGAGGCTCATTTCTTCTGCTTGGGATTCTTTCTTTCCAGCTTTCATTTCTTTAGCTGTAAAATGGGTGAGCTGGACTGGGGAAGACCCACACTGGAGGCCTCTAACCTGCTCTCACAAGTGGCAGGCCCACATCCTAACAAAAAGCCTGGCTTTGTCAGCCCTGACTCTGCCACCTGTGTGCTGTGATGTCAGAACTCCTATGTGACCCTCAGTTTCCCTGTGTGGTGAATGGGAAGGAAGGGTCATCTCATGCTATTTTAAGAAATCTCTTATAGGGGACTGGAGTTCAGTGGTTAAGAATACTGGCTGCTCTTGCAGAAGACCCAGGTTTGGTTCCCAATACTCACATGGCAGCTAACAGCCATCCATTAACTCCAATTCCAGGGTATCTGATGCCCTCTTCTGGCCTCTTCATGCATTGTACACATGGTGCACTTGCATGCAGGCAAAACACTCATACACATAAAAATAAATAAAATTTAAAATCTCCATGCTAGAAATGGTGGTGCACATCTTTAATCCCAGCACTCAAGAGGCAGAGGCAAGCAGAGCTCTGTGAGTTCAAGGCCAGTCTGGTCTACATAGCAAGTTTCAGGCCAGCTAGGGCTACATGGTGAAACCCTGTCTCAAGAATAAATGAATAAATATAAAAAGTCTCCCATCCTTCGAAAAGGAGAGACCCTTCCCTGCTGTGCCAAACTGGCAGGAGCCACTGGACAGAGGCAGAGCCTTTCCTGGGCACCATTTAATTTCTTGTGATATACCTTATGTGCACAGCCTGTAAGAACTCTCATATCTCACAAAGGACACAAATCCTGAGTGGACAGGTTCAGGCAGATGGTGTGGGCTACCCTGGGAAAGCATGAACAGAGCTAGAACCAGAAGCTGGAGCTGGAGAGATTGCTCTGTGGTTAAGAGTGCATACTGCTTCTCCAGAAGACCTGGGTTCTGTTCCCAGCACCCATTTCAGGGGACTT